CTGGCGGCGGTCTTTCTGGGACTCAAACTCCCTTGGCAGCAGTTGCTAGTGGAACGCCCTTCAGTCCTCGGCCCTGGTCGTATGATCCTTCTCACCGCTTAGCAATACCCCATCAGACGGCTATTCATGGATCAGCGCACATGAAGCCGGTGGGTCAAGACGTGTCGGGTCACGATGATCCATCTACTAGACCTTCCACCGCAACCAGCATCTCCTCTCCACGTGGTTCAGAGTCTGGGCTTTCGTCCCCTCAGTTGCCTCACAGAGCACAGCTCGCTGGTGGAGGCGACCGGAGAGATTCTGCGCTCGATGCACTGACATCCTTGTCAGCATCTAGGCTCCAGAGCAGGCAGGCGTCAGACCTGCAAGTGGTGGCCAGAGTCAGGTATTCTGGGGACGTGCGCATGACTCTCACGGCCGAAATACTACTTGACTATCCGATGCCGAGCTTCGTTGGAATCCCTCTCAAATTAGCCATCACCGGTCTGACATTTGATGGTGTCGCTATAGTGGCTTGGGTCAAAAAGAAGATGCACTTTTGTTTTCTCGATTCCGAGGACGCCGCTGCACTCGTCGGAGAAAGTGTGACAAACGAACAACGTAAGAAATCAGGTAGCACAACAGGTTCAGGCGCCAGGCTGCCTGGACCTCTGCAGGAAATCCACGTGGAAAGCGAGATTGGACGACAGGAGAATGGCAAACAAGTACTCAAGAATGTGGGAAAGGTGGAAAAGTTCGTTCTTGAGCAAATCAGGAAGATCTTTGAGGAAGAGTTCGTCTTTCCCAGTTATTGGACCTTCTTAGTATGATGTTCCAACAAGCTTGCCGGCGGTCGACGGCCAGTAAAGTCGTGTTTCGGGCATGATCCCTCGACACCTATGACTGATTGGCCCCTTGAAACGCTCTTCTCAATGTTTCGGGATGCTCGCGACCAAAACTGGAAATCCAACCTTGACCAGCACGAAAGTGTCTTCCCCCCCAGACCGGTCGCAGTTAAAGGAAATTAACCTCATGATGGCCACGTCACGGGTTGCATTCTCCAGCGTTGTGTGGCTGGGAGGGCGTCTACGGAGGGTGCAACCAGGAATCAGGCGATCAAAAACCTTGATCATCCGTACTTGGGCCAGTCAGGTACGTAACCAATGGCAATGATGCGGGCCCGGCTGAGATCAGCACGCCTGCCTCGGTTCGTGCCACGTTCCTCGACAGGGCTGTTTTCGGTGGTAAGGGAGTCAAAGGGGTCCCTGAAACGAGAAACCATAATCGAACCATGGCTTTCTATTAGCAAATGGGGATCAAAAGAAGATCAGACGACAATGGAACATAATGATTGCCTTTTCTATCGGCGGCTTGAGAGAAAATCGTGCTCGAGGCCGTATCAAAACATTTGAGAGGCGAAATGACGTCGCCTTCTTCTTCTTGGGGAAAGCCATATAAAGCTCGAACATATTTCAACATCGATCAATCCTCATCCCAATTCAAGTCGTCTTTTCTTGACCACCAGTGACGATGCAGCGCCTTCGACAGTTTATCCGGCGCGCCAGCTTTGGCAACACTTCCGCCGCTCCTCGTTCTCAAGCTGCAATTGCGACGAAGCCTGCGTCACATCCGTCTCCACCAGCAGGCGGCCCAAGCTTGAACATTGCTCTGCAAAACCAGACAACCTCCAGCACTGTCTACGCTTATATCACAGGCCAAGCGATTGATCGCGGCAATGCATTGTTTCTCCTCTTGTCGGATGGGAAAACTCCATTCTATCCAAGCTCTCCGGCTGCGATTGGCTCGCACATTCCACAAAATTGTGCCATCGCTCTCGGAGCGCCGGGAAACACTGTGACAGTGACAATACCCCATGTAGCCGGAGGGCGCATTTGGTTTTCGATTGACGCACCTTTGACATTCCTGCTCAACCCAGGGCCGGCGCTGGTTGAACCATCAGTCACAAATTCATCCGACCCCAATATCAACACCAATTGGGGCTTTGCCGAGTTCACGTTCAACAGCGACCAACTGTATGCCAATATCAGCTATGTTGATTTTGTCGGCCCACCCATCGCATTGACACTCACGACCCAGAGCGGCGCCACCCAGCACGTCTCCGGCATGCCAACCAACGGACTCGACATAGTCTGCAACGGTTTGCGGGCACAACATGCCGCCGATGGCAACGGCTGGGACAAATTGATTGTCACCCACAATGGACGAAACCTTCGTGCCCTCTCGCCAAATCAGGGAATGGTGACCAACCCTTCGCTGTTCTCAAATTACTATGATGGGTATATCAACCGAGTCTGGCAGAAATTCGGTCCTCAATCCATGTCCATCGACACTCAAGCTGGCTTTGGCATTGTTTCCGCAAAGGTCGACAACAACAACTCGACTCTCAGTTTCGGCAGTTCAAGCTTCACGAAGCCTTCTACACAGGACATCTTCAGCTGCTCCACGGGGCCGTTCGCAACGGGCGCAAACGCCGAAACAAACGCCATCATTCCTCGATTGGCAGCGGCGTTTAATCGCTCGACGTTGCTCGTTTCCGATTCCTTCCCAGCGCCTCAGAACCTGTATTACAAGGACCCTACCACCAACCACTACTCCCGAATCGTGCACTCGGTGAATCTGGACGGCAAGGGCTATGCGTTTCCCTATGACGACGTGCAGCCGAGCGGTGGTGCGGATCAGAGTGGTGAGGTTCATGCTGGCGACCCAAAACTGTTCACTGTCACCGTGGGAGGTATGAACGCGAGCGTCGAGCCGCCGCCTAAGAAGGAGCTATGAAGAGCACGAATATCTCAGCAGCAGCGGCAGCAGAGGTGGGGTGGTAGATGAGATTTTACAACGACGTTCTTTTTTTCTCCTTATGGTTTTGGATACCTATGGGGTTTTTCAGTCCTCTTTGTTTAGTGGATCGGATCATTGAGGCTTGGTCTAACAATTAGATCGCGCCGATACTTCACAGTCGGAGAGCCTTGACTGGTGAACCGGTTAACAAAATACATGGCTCCCGGGCTGGGAAAATTCTGGGTTCCTGGGCTGGGATCGATCGAGGAAAGAGGGACCGCTCGTTCGGCTTGGGGCTGATGGGGCAAGAATGTATGAACGGATGACTGGATGACTGGATGGGACTGCTTTTTGTTGTTATCTGTTCCCCTGTCTTGGATGGCTTGATTACAGCTAGCTGTTATAGAAACCTGACTTGATAGACCTTTTATGTCTCCCACCCATTCGCTCAGCCATGATCCAAACAGTTGCTCTACAAGTTTCCATTTCAGTAGGCGAACGCAAAGACCGTGCTAAGTGAAGTCATCTAGGGGCCAAGGGACAACAGACTCCTATTGCGTAGTCCTTGTCCCAGCTTCGCATAGCCCAGACAGCAGCAGAAGCCGAAACTAAAGCAGCTTCCCACGCCATGAAATGTAGACGGAATCGTGGAACATCGACAGGGGCTGAGCTGGGGCCACCATGCCAACAAGCCTTTGTAAGCGATTTCGTAGCCTTGTTCGGGACCGGGGCATTCTCTTGACATATTCCTTGGAAATTTTTTCCGCTCAGGAGAGGGCTCCAGGGCTCCAGGGCTCCGCTGGAAAGTTTCTCTTGTTTAAAGCCTCCATCCGCACGTTCGCTGAGAAATCCGGTTAGATCACGACTAGCTATAGCCTATCCCGTGAGATTCGGCTCTTATTGCTCATTCTTGTTGTCCATTAAATGGCATTAACTCTGAGTTTCGAAGATGAAAGAGCGCAATTTACGGCATCCATGACAAAGTTCGATATGGATGACTCCGTTGGCAACATTCCATAGTTCGCCGAAGCGGGTTTTTAGCTGGAAGTCCACAAACAACGGCTTAATTGCTGGCACAGAAGGATAGATCAGGAGCACGAGGGTGCGCGAGCAGCACTTTGACGAACATCAGCGCCGTTTTGCTTCTTTGTGGCACCGGGAACGGGGATCTTTCGTGTCGTCACGTTCTTGTCTGTTGTTGAAGTCCACATCAAACGCGTATGACGTTTTCTGGCTGTTTGCTTTCGACGACGATGCCCTATGGTTTGGCTAATATAGTATCGATCTCTTTGCGCGCTCCCTCGCTGAAATGTCGATACTGGTGTTGACCATCTCGAGCCGAGATGGTGGAACTCCGTGTACTTATGGGCAACGAAGGCTTCTGGAACCTTGATGGAGAAGTCGATATTCGTGCGCGTCCGGACCGACAACCATCCGAACTAATAATTTGGGAGACAAAGATGCCTGGAACTCGAGGGTGCCATCTCCCCAGGACAATATATATATTGTTTAGGTGGAACATGGTTCTCTCGAGTTGAGCCGGCGGCACGAACAACCAAAAGAAACACAACCAGGAGACCCAAACGCCCCCAGACCACCTTCAGAAACACTTGGCCGAACACGAACAAGACTCTGGCATACCCTTAGCGATATTCAAACACGGTTTGAGAACGCCCGTGTTAGCATGCACAAATATGCACTTCACCTGGGGGTTGGCCCCATTGCCAGGGCAGAGACGGAGACAGCTGTTTCGGCACCCCTGGAGAGAATGGTTCTCTGCCAGCAGTTGCTTTCTGGCTTAGAGGAGGAGACAGACTGGTGGAAGGCCAGTACAGGTACTTGTGCTAGAGTGCGTGTGTTGTTATCGTTTATAGGGTGGGAGTGGCGTATAGATCGAAATCCTCATGAGAGGACAAATCCTGCAGAGCGGATCAATACATTCGCGGGCCCGTGTCGACAACATCTATTCCCTGGGAAGCCTGGAAGGATAAGCGGTGGCATGACAATCAGGTACCGTCCCATCGTCTCATACCGATGTTCTTATAATGGCTACGCAATACACAATGCATCCAAGGTCGGTCGTCGTTGCAGACAGCAGCAAGGAGGCCGAACAGGATCGACATATTAGAGGTTGACGAGGTTTTGATTGACCATATACCAGACTACCAGTGCACTTTCACCTCTGGGAGCATCCCAAGGGTCATCCGCCTTCAAAGTGCCAATCATCGCCCGAAGGCGAGCATGGCCTTCTTTGCGTTCGGGTCGTCATACCAGGTGTAATTCTCCTGTGCGAGCTCATCAAACCAGGCGGGAGTCTTGTCGTGTGTATTCAGCCCTCTGTTCCTGCATTAATTTTGGGTGGGGGGTTGTCCAGCAGACAACAAAGACGCGGGCGAGACCCACGGAAGCTGAAGTTCCAGCAGAAGGAGTTCGTTTCAAACCTGACGGAGTCGCCATTATGTCGCATCATAAGCGCCGCCAACTTGAAACCCTCGCCGCGCCCTCCTGCAAGTGCGTTGTTATTCCGCTTCGTGGTCTCCCCGAGGTCAAGATATCTCTGCTCAAGCTTGGCTTTGAAGTTTGTCAACTCCAGATACCCCGGTTTGCTCTGGAATCGGATGTAGCCAAGAAGTTGAGCATTGTCCGTGACTGCGCCGGACGGGGTGCCGACAGAAACGGTGATGTGGATCTCTTGATCATCATTCCTGAGAAAAACAGGCTTGATGGATTGGGGATCCACTCCGAACGACTCAACTCTGCCGTCCTTCCTGTACAGTGTCAGTTAACAGGAATGCAGAGAGCACCAGCATGTTTAAGCCTTCCTACCAATTTTGATAGAATTCCCTGAAGGCATCTCTGGGAAGCCACTGCGGCGCGTAGTTCTTGGCCAGGCCTAGATGGTGAAGGCACTTCTTGAGGACATCATGATTGTCGTCTTCTCTGTACTCGGGATCTGACTCGTGAGCACCATATCCATGGTCTTTAGACTTTATGTGAGGCTCCGCCAGTGAAAAAGCGTTGTTATGATTGGGGAGGGTGATGCAAGCCATCGGAGCATAGATGTAAGCCGTGCGGGCCAAATCGAGGTGAAACTGAGACGGCTCGAAGATGGACGACGCGAATGAGGGAAGATTCCCTGGAGCAGATTTGAAGAGACTGCGAGAGAGGATAGTCTAGGCTCGAAGCCTGTCCTGTTGTTGTTGTTGTTGAGGAAGCTGAATGACTCTTCGTAATTTCAATAGTGAAGGGAGAGAAGTTGGGAAATACTGGTGAAGAAGTTTTCAAAGAAACTCGATATGAGGACAAAGCAGATGAGAAGGTTACCTGGGTAGAATTCACTTCACCGTGTTGGCCGAGAGGTAGGGTGAGGCAGGTCTGAGCCAAGGCGGAATGTTCGATACATGCTGAATCCACCTTCCAGTGCCGGGGATACCTACCATTGTCATCTGACAGGAAACTGTCTTGAAATTTGAACTCAGAGGTTGGCAATATTTACTCCTTTTCGGTGGTCATTTGCTGGTATTCAAATTTGCATCGTTCCCGTCGCAGTTTCTTTATTCATCAGGACAACACCACATCCCTCCTCCTTTTCCCAGCGGAAGCACAAGCAAAAGCTGCTCCATAATGACATACATCAGGCAGGTTCAGACGAGGCTTGTCGAAACGCAGATGGCTGGGGTCCTTTAAACCTTGACGATTGCTCGAGCAGAACACAACGGTGGTCTCCTCTCTGCACCCAGTTTTGGTCCAGCTGTCACGAGAGATCCTTGTACCCAGTAGGAGGAGGACAGCACGCTGTCGTGTGAGAGAAAGACGCATATTATCTCTCCAACGTGACAGAAATGATAGTTTGTAAGAAAAAGCAGAGTTTGACAAATACCAGGATTGCGGAATCTTGGACGTCTTGTCTTGTGGCTTTACATGCTTAGTTGCGCGGAAGTTTTCCAATCCGGCCCCATCACGTTCGGATCAACTCGTCCGGCTCGGCACAGAATTGCTGACTCATTTCAGCCTCGCCGGGTCCACTGCCCCAATGAAGACTAGAACTCTCTCCCTGGCATCACAGCCTCGTTCGTGGATTCGAAGCTGGCTCGCTAGGTAGTCGCACCAACATTCTTCCAAAGGTGGACAATACACAGCATCTCGGCCGAAAATGACCTACAGATCTGCAGATGGCCATGGTATATGAACCTCGATATTCCCTCTGCATACGAGGTATACGATTCCGAACCCGAACATCGACATCAGTCATTTATCTCTTTGTTCTTCTATTCCTCCAATGTTACCAGAATCCCAACCTCAATATCCAACCCCTCGCAGAACGCATCAAAAATCGCGGACGGGATGCAAGAACTGTAAACAGAGAAAAGTCAAAGTAAGTCAGTCACTAAAATGCCATTTCCGCCGGTTTTTCTTTGCTAAACCTCGACTCAACACGGTTGACAGTGCGATGAAAAACGTCCCGTCTGCGACAAGTGTGCCATTCACTATGCGAATATCCAGAAATGTGACTACGGGGATCAGAGTCTGACAGCAGAGGTACCGATGACGAGAAGACCTGCAACGGAGAAGCCGAGGATTGCACCGAAGACAGTGCCTATCCTGCCCAACTTTCATCAACAGCAGACCAATATCGAATCTTTAGTCCTCACCAGGTCTGGGTCGTCAGAATTTGACCCCTTCACACAACATCCACCGTCACTTGAACCCGACATAAACCTCCTCATGGGGACATGTGAGTCGGATCTCTCATCACAAGCAGCAGCAGCAGCAGCAGCACCTGACCCGTCTCTGCAAGATTTCTCCTCCCAAACCTTCAACGTCTTCCCGTACTATCCCACTCCGACTCTCAACCCCGTGGTCGAATTTTTCGCCCCTTTGATAACAAAGGACACAGCGCTGTTCCACGTCACGCTACTGGTCAGCGCCTTTCGGCTGGAACAGCACTTGCCGCCAAGGGAACGAGTGAGGTGCATACGGCTCTCCAAGATCTGCATGACCCTGATACAAAACAGGATCAACGAACCGTTTCCGGACTGTGTCTCGGACGAAACTTTGGCGGCCGTCGCAGGAGTCGCGGTCATAGAGGTATGTTTCTGATCCTGTATAAGAGACTGTGCGCCAAAGGGAGGAGCTTACAAACCAGGCAGCATGAAAAGGGCAGTCTACGCCTCTCCCGTATTCATGTGACTGGGCTGAAACAGATGCTTGAGATCCGAGGCGGTTTAGAGGCAATTCGCATCTCAAACCCGACCATCGCAAATATGCTCTTTTGGTAGGTCTACTCACGATTCAGCCACATAACATCCCCCGAAACTGATGTTTCATGGTCAAGTATCTTCGTCGCCACGGCGGATGTCGAGTTCCCATCCTGCGACGCACAGATAGTCGTGCAGCGCCCTCCATGGTTCTACCCAAGCCTGCGAGTAGGCCGGTCTCTCCTCGGCCCCGGTGCCGGTGTAGAGCTCTCGAACCCGAGTCTAATAGATTTCCAGGCCCACGGCGTCTTGAGGGAGTACTCTGAGCTCATGCTGAACATCCGCATGCTCGCCACGACCTATCAGACCGCGCAGGACTGTAGCTCCGCCCAAGAATACCAAGAGGTGTTGACATTCCTATGCGCCACCTTGCAGCGTCTGCTCACCCTACCGATCCCAGACCCGCTGCTAGGCAGCTATGAGGGTACCATCACAGCAGCATGTGGCCACGCCCTGATCATCCACGTCTTTGCCCAGTGGTGTGGCCACCAGCCCGACCCGTCTCTCCTGGTGAGCACAGCCCAGCACAAGCTGCTCACTACGCTCCGCCCCTTGACCAAAAACCGTGGAGTCAGTACAAAATTACTCCTGTGGCTCCTTTCCGTCGGTGGTACCTGTCCCTTCGGGCCGGCCCAGCACAAATGGTTCATAAGCCAGCTTGCAGATACAGCCGCAGATTTGGGAATCCATTCCTGGGAAATCATGAAGGCAAGCCTCAAACAGGTCATATGGCATGAGTATCAGGACGACAAACAACACAGGGAGGTGTGGGACGAGGTAGTTGCCCTCAGGGAGGGGGGAACGTTCCCCTTCTCGGAGATGGTCTATCCTGCACCGACTGGTGTGTGAGAGGAGCTAGGAGGATAACAATGCCAACCACTGGATGATGGTGAGCCGAGTTCTGGGACCTTCGCGGACGAACAAGATGCGTCTCAGACTCTCCATTCGTTGTTCGGAGCCGTGTCGAGGCAGTTAACTATCCCTGGTAATTGTCAAGCCTAGCGGTATTTCACGTATGCATATACGTATAAGACTAAGGCGGGATCGAACTGATCGAATTGAGTCAGCCCTCAGAATCAGGGGATAGGGCCGTCCTAGTTCCTGAGAAAAGTACTATAAAGTGGATCCTCAGTTCATTGATGGACGGCTGCGGATGTGGTGGTCTGGTTGGAGACTTTTAGGCACCCGACACCATGGCTTGAATGGGGGGAGATCAACAGTTATGCCTGAGTGTAGGTAGGCAGGACGTGGCGTCAAGCGGCTTTGAAACCGCGTCGCTATGGGGCCCTTTCCGTGTTTGAAAGGCTAAGCTAACCTTTTCAGGTATATGTCTTTGTCAGGTTGCCGGAGTTTGTTACGTAACCTGATATAGGGCTTTCCCTGTTTATATGACTTTGGCCTACAACGGGAACCGCTCTACCGATAGGTCATAGACCTATCCATGCCTGTAGCCTAGCCGGATTCTCTCTATACATATTCACGGTCCGCTCTCAGACTGCTTGTATAGGTTGTGCCTTGGCAACCTGTCCAGATTGAGGGTCTTGGTCCGTTGGCCAAGTGCAACGGCGAGGGTTGGCAAGGCTGGACAAAGCTGCCAGCATTACCGATTCGCCACAGTGGCCCACAACCCCCTCAATCCTTTCTGGCCTGGCGTTCAAGCCACACTCGGGTTCGTGTTCGAGAGCAAATGACTTAGCTGTGGAAGTCGGTTAGACCTTGGCTGAGCACTGAAGATCAACAATCTGAGCCTGGAACTTCTTATCAGACTGGATACGGTTCCACAGAGCGGCACATGCCGTACTTTGGCCACGGGTGCAAAAGAGCCTGTGCCGCGGAAACGTACTATTAGCAAACCCAGTGAGGCATCAGGCTTGTGGCGAAGGCTGCTGCGTCTTCGGTTGCCACACGGTATTTGGCAAGTTGGATAGGGGCCTATTTTTTGAAAGACATAAACGAATCTTCCATGGACCACTATGAGTATGTAATGGACGATCTCTTCCGATTTCTCCTTTTCGTAGAAACGTCGCAGTCTAAATCGCCAGCTGTGGTCAGATCATTCAAAAACTCCCACATGACATGGGGGATAAATTCAGTGCCTTTCTGCCCGTGCACCTGAGATTCTGAGCAGCATAGGACCGACAGACTATAATGTGAGTAGCCTCTGACGAAAGCTAGCCCTGTCCGATACACATCTCCGCTCTGGTAACATGAAGGGAGGCCTCTAACTGAAATCTGCATAGAACGACTCATACTTCTACCCCCAAAGCACGACAGTGGACGGACGCGGAACGGAGATAGGATGGACGCATGCTCACAAGAATTGCTGCATACAATCAACAACGCGATGAGCAATGTGGACGACATGGCTTGGCTGTTTTCATCAGAGGTCGGACAGCAACAAGCCACTCCAAGCATGGAGATGGGATTTCACCCGCACGGAAGACTTTTGGGCGACGAAACTCTGGTCAACTGCGTCTGCAACGAACCTCCAGGCTCATATTGCGTCTGCCCTCCTAGTGCTTCGGTATTTGGTTACAGTCCCGGGGACCTCGAGCAATTACCCATGCAGAGAATCCATGGGGATTCCAATGATTTTGTATTCACTGTGACGGCACCACACGACCAGAAAGACACGAAGCCCCCAGTCTCGACTAGAAAAGAGGTATTTATGACCCGGAAAACTCCAAATTCTCTCTTTATCTGATCAGGCCATAAATCATCAGCGTCGAAGGCAGCAGAACCGTGCAGCGCAGTACCGACATCGAGAAAAGCGCAACCGATTTCTCCGCGAGACACTTCGCAGTATTGAGGCTTTGAACGAGGAATTGAGGCAGACAAGGGCCCAGCGCGACTATTTTAGACTCATGTATGAAGGGCTTGAGACGCAGATGTTGGAGATTAAAAGTCGGTCAAACTCCAGGCTCCCAAGTGATTCTCCTTTTCAGAATTGAACTTTGTTCAGTGATTCTGTACTCTGTAGACAGGGTTCGCCAAGACCATTGGTGATATGAAGACTCAGTGCAACCCTTCTCTGTGTACGGAAGCCCAGGGGTGACTGTTCAGTAGCGCAGATCGGCTCGTGGCAGATGGGACATGTTTCGCTGACCTCTGTCCCCTGGTTGGTCTGTTGATCGGGACCTCCAAATTGTACCGGTTGTGCTTGAGGTCTGTGACTGGCGGAAGCCAGGAGAATCGGCAGGGACAATTTTCCCTCAGGCGCCCGAAGTTGTTCCCAGTAGAGGCGATTTAGATCCAGATATGAGTTGGAGGCTCTCGCCTCAACAATATTGGGCCAATCCACAAAAGCTGGCCAGTAGGAGGAGTGCAGGCACAAACGATATATAGAAAGACTGCTGATTTAGGGGTCAACCCGCTTGCCGAACATGGCAAGGACCGCTCGGCTGCTGAGGTGACGAAGAATTGTGGATTTCAGGTAGAGAAATACGATTTTCCAAGTTTTTTGGTCGGCAATAAGGGTCGACATAAAGGCGACGGAACAGAGCGATTTTGTGAGAGCATATAGGTACACGAACTGTTTGCCATTGATAATGGAGCTTGAGAAAGCTGATTGTTGTTCGCCGTCAAAGGAGAGCGACAACAAACTCGGCCGTGAGTTCGGAAGAAAGAAACCGACGAGCAAGGCCAAACGCTAAGCCACAATGCCTGTGAGTCTCCAGGAAAAATCCGTGGCCTACTAGAACTCAAGCTGACCTTGGTCCAACGTATGGAGTATCAGCCAGGCATGTACCAGAATCGAGCTTCTTCTGCCCGAAATCCAGAATCAGAAGGCTTTCGACACGCCTTCTTGTCGTTGAAAAGACCGATGCCGTCTGGCTCTCTGATTTCCACATCTTTGGACAGGAAGAGGGATTTCCTCTGAGGTATTGTAAGCAAATCCTCACTTGCCTTGCCCTCAACCGAATCTTTCAAGCAAAAATATGACAGAGTCTGGATTGTGTCTGAAAGAGCTGACCGAGCCATCCAGTCTCAACGACGCATCTCACACAGGTCTACTGGAGCGATGTGCAAGCGGCTGATCACAACAGTCTTATTGTTCCATTAGCATTACAGAACCCCGCCCTGTTCAACGCAATGATGGCCAAAGCCCTCACAGATTTCCGTTTCGGAGGCAATGGGTTGTCGGACGACATGGTTCCCCGGTGCAACGATAATGAAAGTAGATCAGTCAAGATTGATTTTGCCTTTTTCAAGGTACAGGCGTTGAAACATCTGAGATTGACTTTGGGTGATGGAGCGATGCGTGAGATCTTCCAATCTATTGTGATAACCACAATTTTCTTGGTCAAAATAGAGGTGAGTGAGCCCAAGTTGAGACTCTTCCGTGTTGTGACCGACAATATGGCAGCTGGTAGAAGGCCACGTAAAGGAAGTGCGCATGCATTTGCGTGCGTTGCGAGAGTTGTTCCAAAACGGTGCTTCCTTGGAGTTTCTCTCGCCTTGCGCGAGGTTGCCTTCATTGCTGTGAGTCCCTAACCTGCTGCTGCCAGTCAATTGTTGACTGAAGCTCTCACAGTACAATAAATTTGGCTTGTTCGGTCTGTCAAGAGCCTCCAATTCTTGTGCCAGCTTCTTGTGCGAACACCGTCATGTCAGATGAATTCATGAAGGCCATGAATGATTGTCCCATAACAATCTAGTCGAATCTGGCTCAGGGTTTCAGCAACCGAGTGATAAGGAAGCTATTGGGGCCCCACATCTTGTCCTATATTCCATGGCAGAAGAATCTGATCTTAATGAAAGAAATGTCCATGTATGGGCTCCTGAAGAGAACGACTATCGAAGACTATGCAATAGCGACAGGCATGGTACATCGTGCCGATTACCATCTACTAAGCCTTCCATACTTGACAAATCTTTCTCCGGTGCAAGATGTTGTTCGAGTGGTGCTCTTGATCGCAGACATGTCGACTCTCCTGGGACGTTTCCGGGGAACAGCCTCAGCGACTTCCTTGGCATTGCAGCTAAAAAGGACTCTGGAAGCGATGAATCTGTCCAATATGAAGTATTTCGAGCACGGAGCCGTTTGCTTGGTCCTTTGGGCGTGCTTTTACGGCGTCGATGTGTCAAGGTCCGCAGGAGATCGGCTGTGGTTCATGTCACATTTGAAGCGCTGTCTGAAGGTTCTTCGACTCAGCGAACATGCTGATATCTTTAAGCTTCTTGTAAGCTTCATGTACACAGAAAGGCAGTACTCCAGTGTCTCTGAAATTGTCCGGAAGGACCTAACCAGACCTAACCAACATGAAACAGACCGCGCGGTCTAGGAGCTGATACAGAGGAAGAGGAAAGGAAATCGCCAGCACTGTGAGACAGGTTACAAAATTTGGCCGCGGCAATGTTGAAGTCTCTGAGTGGCGATACTAGTAGGTAGGAGGCACAATCCCTGCAGTCTTGAGGTTGGTTATGCGGGTTGCCTGCTGGGTTGGGAGAGACGAGCACCCTGTTGACGTGAGACATGGGCCCAATATTAGATGGAAAGTGTTGTTGATGAACTGCACGATTATCTAGCAAGCCTGGATCGATAAACTGCGACGTCGTCAAATGTTCGCTGTTCCAGAGGAAATATTATTGTTGCCAATGCCCGGTCGTGAATCGGCCGTCATAGTCGAACGCCCCAGGATCATCGAAGGCCAAATCCTGTTCGAACCACTGCAAGACATCAATGCCGCTCATAAAAGCGTCATCTGTATCATTCTGTAACCACTGCGCATCCTTTGTTTGAGTGTGCGGTTCTAGAGAAGTCTGAGAATGGGACGACTGAGCTGGAGGTGCGCCGGTCGGGTTAACAGAACTGTAGTCAAGAAATTCTGTTTGATGTGGCTGTTGTCTCTCGTCGGTCCGTAAGCAGGGGAGGTCAAAGCGTTCGTTCGAAGGCATAGAAGAGGCAGAACTGGGACTGACTCTCGACCCAGTAGTTGCAGTATTATCTGCTTGCTTCATCGCGGAAAGCAACCTGGATGAATTTAGCCCTTGTGCCTTGATCTGCGAGAGAACCAAACAGAACGCTCTCGCCACCACAGAGTTGTTTTGAGTATGGACTCTCCTGAGCAGATCGATGATTGAAGTCAGGTACTCTTCGAACTTCAAATCTCGGACATCGATTTGGGATCTCCCTTCAAACTCCGCTTGGCTATCACATATGTTGAGCAACTTGCGAAGTGCTCGAGCTGCATAACCAGTGCGTACGAAGAAAATGTTTGGCAAGTTGCAAAGGGAGGGCAATCCCATGGACAGAAATGCATCAAAGCATTCGTGAATTGCAGCAAGGCAAGCAAACAATGCCTCCACTCTTGCGGGGATGAAGTACAAGTCTTTGAATTTCAATGTCATATTCTCGACTTCTGCAATTGGGGGGGGAGGAGCAGCAGCACGGAGCGGTGAACGGAGGTCATCAATGTCATGTTCCGGATGTAAGGCTATTTCGTGGATGAAGAGATCGATGCATGCTGCAACATGGCGAACATAGGCTTTTAGCCGTCAGGGGTTGCCTCCACAACGTGCGCATGTTACAGAGGTGTCACTTACCGAGGTTCAGGTCTGTTTTTGCATGTCGACGCCAGTAGTCCAGTTGCTGACGAAAGCCTCGTATTTGATATTGAATCTTGACATCGCGGAGAGTGACTATTGACCCAGGGTCGTCCATGGAAAACGTGACTGACGCATCTTCAGCGATACGTTGGAGACGTATCAGGTCACATAGCCACACATCGCTTGGTAAGGCGGGCACTTCAGCTGAGAGAACATCCAAGCATTCCTCGGAGTAAACAGACCAGCGGACGAATGCAGGGTGACGAAGTGACATGGAAACACTGGGTGGATTTGTCAGCCACCGCAGACAAGGATTATCCGTTTCCTCACCTCGTCGCCATATAATAGCACCCTAGCCATGCTCGTCGCGCTGCAGGTGATTCCAATTGATGCGGATCGTTGTATTGCGTCAAGCTTGATTTATGAGGTCGTCTGCCCAAGCCTATATCAAGCGCCATTGTGCTGGCCATATGCACCATCTGGTTAAAGTTGAGGTCTCGCATGTTTTTAGCCCTGCCGTAGAACGTAATGTGAACGATTAAAGTCTGAACAAGCTCAAGAGACCGTTCACCGTTGTACACGACACGTAGGGCTAGATCCTTGATGAGCATATCGCAAAGCTCGGCGTCGACCGTGGTTTGCATGGACGCGAGGCCAACCGTAATGACGGCGAAAAACAGGAGGGGCTGTTGCTGTTTGACGGCGATGGCATCTGAGGTAGAGGGAAAGACCACGAATGGGAAGTAGCGACACATTTCATCCTTGTATCGGTCAAAAGCCTTGCAGGCAGTCTCCCAATCCAGCAAGCCGCGAGACAAGGCTTTAGCGATGAGGGTCTTATCGGATTTGGCCGAGGTCTGCTCGTTGGATGCTGAAGTTCCAGCAGAATCACTGCAGACAGTGGGATGTTTCCCGTGGTCTCCTGGGCTACTCGTCTCATTAGCTCTTAGAAGTGCGGTCAGGGCATTGATTTTCTGCTCGAGATCTGCGACCCGTTCGGTGGTCTTTCTTTTTCTTCGCCGTGGGATATCCTGCATAATGCATTGTCGACGGGCTCGAATGCATAATTTACACGCGTTGCCTAGGGCTTCGTCGATTTCGCATCTTGTTTTCATCCGTCTGCAGGTTATACATGCTCGACTAGATCTGACTGTTCTCGCTTTCGGAGCGGTGGCATCATCGCTGTCTTCGCTACCATCGCTGTGGATTTCAGGATCTTCGGAAGGACTCATCATGCAACTGGACCGATGCAACTAGATCTTAAGGACTACTTGCATGTCAAGGACAGTACCAGGCGAAGCAGGAGATGAAAAGAGCTATAGAACCCACTGTTTAAACTTGTCTGCGAAACGCATCTGTTGTTGCCTTCGGCCAAATATTGTTCCGAAAAAGGTATGCTAGCCTCGCTGCGGATCGAACTAAGCAATGATTGGCCGGCTTGGCCAGCCTCGCCAGACCAATGTTTCTATATTGATCTTGATTGACATTTGTCGCATAATGGTCTAGTCTTTCGATAGTGTCCAGATCTATAGAACAATCTCTTTGACAGATCAGCCGATATAATATGACAAACATAATTTCAGCGAGCTGAGGCCTTCTGCTCAGGCTTTGACATTTGGTCATCAGCTTTTTGAGCCACTCCAGCACCGTTTTGAATCCCTGTCTCAATCGACAGAAGTCGACTTGAGATTCTACTTTGGTAACTCAACATCAACTTCGGGTCTTTTCTCCTCTTGCTGAGTGCTGGCTGGAGTGTTACCCGATTGCGAGACGTTGTTCTGGACGAGTCCAAGTTTCTCCATCCGAATTTCCATGGCTCGTCTATGCGCATCAAGGCCTTCACACCTTGCAAGTTCCATAACTGCATAACCTACTTCACCAACACCTTGCTCTGTGACTTCGCTGCTGGTAATGTTTTTCATGAAACTGCCGAGGTTTACACCACTGTATTGTTTCGCGTAGCCGTATGTTGGCAGGCTGTGGTTCACGCCAGCAGAGTAATCGCCAACAGACTCGGGTGTCCAACCCCCAAGGAAGACGGACCCTGCATTCTGAACATCAGGCAATGCGACGCGAGGGTCAGTGATTTGCAAAATGAGGTGTTCAGGAGCATAGTAGTTCGACCATTTTAAAGCTTCTGTGAGACTGGCAACCGAGATAGTCACGCTGTGTTCGATTGCGCCACGAACAATATCCACTCGAGGGAGTTCGTACGCTTGCTTGTGCACCTCGTCTTCAATCGCTTGAAGTTGCTTCTCATCCAGATCAACAGCAATCAGGACTACTTGGCTGTCAGTGCCATGCTCAGCTTGGCTGAGCAGGTCACTGGCCACAAAGGCGGGATCGGCTGTTTTATCTGCAATAACTAGCACTTCAGATGGGCCAGCTGGCATATCGATCGATACGGCGGCGGAGGTATCGTTGCTAACAATCATCTTCGCGGCTGTGACAAATTGATTCCCAGGCCCAAGGATTTTATCGACTTTAGTAATGGATTCAGTGCCATATGCCATGGCGGCAATAGCTTGAGCGCCGCCCGCTAGAACGATGGCTTCTGCTCCAACTTTGTGGGCGATGTACACGATTTCCGGCGTGACGGTTCCGTCGGGTCTTGGAGGTGATGCGAGGACGATGTTCTTGCATCCTGCGGCCATGGCTGGGACACCGAGCATGAGCGCTGTTGAAGGTAATATCGCAGTGCCGCCCGGAATGTATAAACCGACTTTCTCAATCGGTCTCGAAAACCGGGAGCACGTCACGCCAGGCATTGTCTCCACGACTAGTGGTGCTGACGGTTTCTGGGCAGCATGGAACTTGAGGATGTTATCGTACGAGGTGTTGATTGCTTTGATGGTCTCTTCGGGAAGTTGCATAAGCGATTTAGGAAAGGGTGCTTTTAGTACAGGAGATTTCAGACCAGTGGCTTTCTCAAATTTGTGAGTATACTTCAGGACAGCAGCGTCGCCATTAGCACGAACGTCGGCAATAATGGGATGGACAAGAGACATGATTTTCTCGTTCGACTTTTGCGAAGGTCGTTGTAGAGCAGCCTTGAGGATGTCATCCGAGAAAGCTTGTGATGTGGAAAATCGTTTCAGTTGTATCCGACCAGATTCTGCCTCACCAGCAGGATCTGAGGGAGCCATTGGAACAGATGCGGCCTCTTGAACTTCTTCATCTTTGAGCCCATCGACGCCGTTGGCCTCGGGTTGTGACATTGCATTAACAGGCTTCTCTTCCACATACTGGGGTTTGGCATCGCCCTTTCGTCTCTTGACTTTCAGACTCTTCAGGTCAAGGTTCTTCTCAATGTCCTCCAAAGTGACGTCCGCGGCGATGCATCTGGCAAGGGCGAAAAAGAGCAGATCAGCCGCCTCAGAGGCAATATTTTCCTTTGAAGTAGCTGCGCAAAGCTCGTCTGCCTCCTCTTTGATTTTGGCATTGACCAGTTTGGGGTCGTTGAAAAGTCGAGCAGTGTATGAGCCTGGGGGGGCTTCGATCTTGCGTTCTTGCAACGTACGTTGTAATCTCGAGAGTCCGGAAACCTTGCCCCAACACGACATTGTCCTAAGATGGCAGAAGCCTTGCCCTTTCTGATGGACCCTAAAGATCAAGCAGTCTTTGTCACAATCGAAGCCGATACTGAGTAGTTCCTGAATGTCTCCGCTCGAGGCACCTTTGTGCCAGAGCCCCCGTTTTCGACTTTGGTAGACGCCTGTTCCGGTCTTGAGCGCCTCGGCAATGCTTTCTTTGCTGCTCCAAACAAGACCCAGCGCAACACCGCGCTCATCAACCACCGTGGTTGCATAGAGACCGGTCTTTCGGTCCGCGGTGGCACCGGCGACGATCAATTCCACGGCAGGTATGAGGCCTTTGTTTCCTTCCTTCGAAGGCTCGAAGGTCAACTTTTTGGAGGAGATGATCAGAGCATTTCCCGGATACTCGTGCAGCAGATTCCTTCCTTCAGTCTCGCTCGCAACCGACACGAATATCGTTTGATCATGACTTGGAGGATAATTATCCAGCTCTTTCAACACGGCGTCCACGTACTCGTTTCCTTTGTCGCCGTCGAACGCCCATTCCGCAGTCTTCCATCTTGGATTCTCCTCGAGAAAGGCCTTGAGCTTTCCGATATCGGTTTTGGGATTGACAAGGGAGATGGTCAATACGAGGCGATCGGGGGAAATGGTAGGCTCTTGCGACAAAGCTTTGAGCTGCTCAAAAGTGACAAATATTTTGGATGCCCCGTTGTTGAGAACGTCAATGACATTGTCCCAGCTTTTCAGTTTCCTGACATCAAAGTATATATCAAGTTTGGAGAAATTCTGGCACAGGAATGCAAGATTGGAGTCGAATGTCTCTGGAGTGACTTCGACGAGACAGTGCCCGAGGTAGGCTACTTGATCGAGAGTGAGACCTTTGACGTCCTCGAGGAGGATGTCCTCTGGATCAACCGAAACCAAAAGCCCGGTACCCATCTCCAAGGAGTGAAACCCGGGGTCGAGATTGTCGCAAAGTGTAGGTGCAAAGTGCAGGTGGAGTGAGGGGAGAAAAATCGCAAGTCAGTAGCTCAACAATTTGACTCAATTCAGAGACTGCGCAGGTGGATCCCTCAGCAACCCTCAGCAACCCTCAGCTAGTGAGCCCCTCTTGGCCCCTCACCCCCTGTCGACGCTATCGGTCCTTATCGATAACCATAAGACGGGATTGGAAAGTCTTCCGAACAATCCGAAAATTTCTCCAATCCCAAACCTCGTCTATCAACTCCACCACCAAACATCCATTGCATTCCTCGCCCTTGACCGCGTGGCTCCCTGTTGCATGTTCCACTGTACACGCTATCAACATTCACATGTCAACAGGTGGAATCCTGAACCTTTTTGGCGTCAGGCCACCTTAGGAGAGGGGAGTGAGAAGTTGAAGGCATGTGAAAAATCGTCGTCAAACCACGCCTCCCAGCCACTCGGTCCAGCATCAAGACATTCCGGTCATCAGCATATCTTTTTCCACAATCTCCTGTTTCCTCGCAACCAGTTCGTCCACGTCCCAGTTCACCCAAGCCAGTCTATTTGCGAGAAAAGACGCCTCCTCGCTTGCAGCCCAGACAATGAACTCTGCCGCAAGCTGAGGGCTGGTAGTTGCAAATAAGCCGTCTAGGCCAGACTTGTCTGCCATGGCAGTCTTGACAAACCCAGGATGCACCGAGATGAATCTAACCCCGCCAGGAACCACCGTGGTTGTTTGAATGTCCATGGTAATTATCTCCATCATTCTCCACATTGCAGCCTTGCTCGCCGCGTATGCTGAGAGGAAAGGTACAAGGACGTTGTACGCGCCGACGGTGTTGAGGTTCACGACAACGGCCTGGTCTTTTGCGTTTTGCTTTGCTCGTGCTCGTAAGAACTGCTGCAGGACGAATGTCGTGCCGAGGACGTTAACTTCAAACGACTGCCACCATTCCTTCAAGTCAGCATGGACAAAATTCTCTGGCTTGGACAGGAATCCGGCGTTATTGACAAGCACGTCGACCGGTTTGGTCAGGGACGAAAACAGGGCCTTGACCGATTCCTCCGATGTGATATTGACAGTACGGTATTCCACAACAGTGCCTGGATGCGCGCTTTTGAGCTCTTCAGCCGTGGCTTTCAGCTTCGACTCTGTCCGGCCTACAACGACAATACTGGCCACGCGTGCTTCTGCAAAGGCGCGGGCGATAGAAGCCCCGATGCCATACCCGCCGCCAGTTATCAAGATATTCTTGGACGCATACTCTGAGGCCAACTTAGCTGGCGAGAGACGGTCGTAAGGTTCGAGGTGCTCGACTTTAGTGGTGAAAGGCATGATGATTTCATCAAGGGTTGTAATTCGTTAGTGGAAACAGAAGGTATAGAATTCGAAGTCCTCTTGTAATGGTCTCTATAGCCGTCCACCAGGCTCTTTGCATTCCTCTCACTCAAATTGCAACCGTTGTGCCTTTATCTTAAATACTCTATTACCCTCCCCCATCATCAGCAGTTGATATAGCAGGCACGGATTCCTCCCTGAAAAGAATTCCGCTTCCGCTCCACCTCAGAGCTCTCAGAGCTAGTCTTACTTTCCGCGGCTGAAATGACAAAGCAAAGGTAGGCTTCGCGTCCAACAACCCGTACCTGGCAATACTCGAGCCAACGCTTTCTTCATCATCCATCTCCACACCAAAAAGACCATTTCGAGTACCGCTACGTATCTAAACCGTCAGGCGCCATACAAAGCCACCGCTCCGTTTCAAAAGACCAAATCAGAGTACCGGGCCAGAGAGGTTAGCTAGACGATACGCATTCAATTACGAGTGAAGCAGTTCATCGCTCCTACAAATTCACCATTGTCGTTGTCTATCGTTGTACGAACACTTCGATTATTAATGCTGATGATGAAGCAATGGCTCCAGGCAGAATAAGACGGAGTGTGCTGAGGCTCCGGCACTCCGCAGCACACTGTCCAAAGCACCTCCGCCTGCGCCAGTGAACTATTCGCAATGTAAGCCCCTGATTGGGGGAGGGGGAAAGCCTCGCTCGAGTGATTACAGATGTGAATGTGTCCTGGAGGAGACGTCCCGACGGCGGTTATCAGTATTTCCGCCGTCCCGTCCGTACACGGGCCGTCGATGGAGCGTGGTCAGGTTTTGGTAGGTTCTGCTCGTACGCAGCGAAAGGGAAGTGTGAGAAGTCTGTCAAAGGGCGTCTCTGGAGATGAAGTAGACGGAGAAGCTTGGTCTGGCTTGTTCCACTTGGTTAACCAAGTTGCGCGACCCAAACGTTTCCTACCCTCTTTGCGGTCACATGTTGGCTCAAGAAAACCCACCTGCGAGTCAGATTATCTCCTTCTGGCCAAATGTCATATACAAACGGCCTCTAAGCAGGAACACGCCTTAGGTCGCCGGCGAAACAACGACTATAACCAACACAATGACTCGAAAACAGAATATTGAGAACAATTTTCTTCTGGATTAAAAGGCAAGCAATCTTCAAGCCTCATTGTAGGTATGAGAGGTAACGGCATAGATCATCATACCAAACTCGTCCACTGACGACAGCCAATTGTCGATCTTCTTCTGTCGCACCGGCGCTGGAATGGGTCCGGGTTGTGGCCAGAGATCACTGATGAGTAGCTCTCCGTCGCTCCAGAGGCTCAGCTGTTGATTATAGGCCGTATTCCAAGATCGTCGATCCTGCGCATTCCAAAGAGTCTTACTTGCTGGGGCCGGGAGGTCGGCGAGTTCTACGGCAATGAATGACGGAGAGCCCAGGGTGAAGTTGACTAAATTGTCAAGTAAAACAGTAGCGAAGAGTGTTCTTCTTTTTGCAGAAGCAACGATCCACGATTCCCAGTCCGGCCGAGTGCCGTTGGTCTCGGCTGGGCAGAGTGTTCCTCTGCTTGCAAGGTCGCCTGCTAAATCTTGGAGCTTGATCATGATATCCTGTTCAACCATGCTGGCAGCATTCGCCGAGTCGAAGAGCATTATGGCGTAGAGAAGGTAACCCTGTAATATGGCCAGGAGCTCCAAGTGGCCGGAGAATGCACGCTAGTTGCTTCATTTCAGTTTCGAAACCAGACTGGAAAATGACTGTGCTTGCCTTTTGGAATATTTTCGACATTTCTTGTCCGATGACCTCTCGAACCATAGCTGCGCTCTCGGGAGTTTGTACCGCCCACATGCGTGCTATGTTCATGCAGTTTGCCAATGGCTCAGCAACCCGATGTGCCATTTGAGCCCAGTGAATGAAAGGAGGGAGGTTCTCGGTCAGGAACATTCTAGGGTAGGACTTGAACACGCGCGTGACGAATGCCATCGTCGACGCATGGAACGGCTTCGGTCTCTGGTCCATAGAAGGCAGGAGACTCTCAAGCCAGCGAGCGCGGATTCTGTTTTCATCCACAGTGCATACTAGATTGATGTGGTTGAAATCCATAGAGTAGGTAGCGGGAATTTCCGGCGCAAGCACATTAGAGAACCAGGGTTCATCGACAGGAGATTCAGAAGGCTGACCCGAGGCAACTTCATCAACGAGTTTTGCGTCGACATATGTGCAATCGAGATCTCGATTTCTGCATCTTGTGCAACATGGCCTTTTGAGGTCACATCGCACTTTTGATTTGTAGCAGTGATTGCACGACTTCTTTCTTGGTACTGTCTCCTTCGGAGTCATGGCAGAATCGGCGTTCGATCGACACACCAATGAGTGCGACTAGTTCCTGGACTGGACCTGGACCTGGAACAGCGAAGCACGAAGGCGAACAAGACGAAGAAGCTTCGGAAATCCGAAAATGGGGGCAACGCTAAGCTTTACCAATTCTGGAATAGTCTTGTTGTTCGGCTGAGTTGCCTCGGAAAATCGATAACTCCCCATTTGCAATGCCCCCCTGCCTGCCTACGTATGCTCTACAATTTGCTTCTCAGCCTCGTCCTTCCTACAACTACTCGTACAAAATTCCCAACCCATTGTCCGCAACCTGCTGGCTGCTTCAAGTCTCGGCTGGGATGCTCGGTTCATGCCGTCTAGGCTTCTAGACAGAAGCTACGGGGTAAGGAGACCCGCCTCTCAACAACCAGTTTTGTTGTGATGAGCGATGCACTCCGCCCAGGACACGTCAAAAGACTCCTTAGGGACAAAGGAAGTTCTGTCCTTGAACCATGATTACATTCTCTGCGGTGAGTCGTGTAACTTGTGTCAATTGCCACTCTAGACTTCCACAGATGGAGCTGCGAAGACTTCTCAAGCTCCCCTTCGCCCCAAAACTGATCCCAGATTTCGGAATTCCGACAATCCCTGTCCAGTCTCAAAATAACTTTGCTGGCCGTGCTTTGCGAGTATATTGTAATGGGAGAAGTTGGAAGTGGTGGACAGAGTTATGATTGGCTGGGGCGCCGACCCTAGACTATGGTTCTTCTTATATAGTTCTGGGGGACTATCTTTCATAGACAACACAAGTAACCAAGTTACCAACAGAGAGGACTTCCTCTAGTTGAGCGTACGCGTTGAGAAGAGACCATACCCACCGCCGTACGAGTTGATGTCCATGGCTAGTAGCCTCGCCCTAGTTCAATGGTGCCACTAACAAGATCTTCTACGAATACTTATAGATGGGTGTCTCTCTACGAGCGGTGAGAGAAAATTACGAAAAACAACTGAACTAAACTACTTACTGGACCAACAGAACTGAAGAACTACCTGCCTACCTATCTAACTAAATCTGGAGAAACTAGCTATATATATAGAACCGCTGCGCAGGGTATACCATTTAGATCACTAGCTAAGTAAGTCTATCCCGCTATACGGAGCGATTTACGCTGGCTATTCATGGAGATCGCTGCTCGGGGTGCCTTTTGGAATTACTAACTGTATATGTTTGCTACCACTATGTGGGTGTTAGACACAGCCTTGAGGAAACCCGGTTACGAGTTGCATTGGCGCGACTCACCACACTCATTGGACAGATGGAAGGATCCACAGGAGAACAAGGCTGAGTCACGTGATATGCCCTGTTGGCTCTGTTGGCCCTGTTGGCCCTGTTGACAGAGCGCACAGAGCGCACAGAGCGCACAGAGC